TTCATTGTTCAGTCCAGTTCTACATTCTGAGAAAGAGGTCCAGCAGGTGGCGCCAGCGAGCAGGACGTGGACCGCAGTGTGGCGGGGTGCGGGAGCTGTCAGCGTAGCCTCCCCGCTCCTCACACAGGAACGGGGTGCCTACCCCCCCCCACCCTCGGGTCACACTTCCTCCGCGTCGCCGCCCCCTGGCTGCAGGGGGCACTGTTGGAACTCCAGGGTCTGGGCGGCGGTGGCGGCGGCACCACCAGGGGACTCAGGGTCCCGCTCCGGGGACGGGGCGGGGCTGTCGGCGGCGGCGGCCCCATTCTCCGGGGGGGGCTCCAGTCCCGCAGCGCCCCCAGCCTCCAGCGGGGCGGCGCTCTTGGCCCCCAAGTGGCTCTGCTGGTGGATCTTCAGGTAGTAGAGGCGGGTGAAGCTCTTGCCGCAGTGCTGGCAGCAGTAGGGCTTCAGCCCCGTGTGGCTGCGCAGGTGCGTCTTGAGGATGCGCACGTCGCGGAAGTTCTTCCCGCACTGGGTGCAGTGGTAGGGCTTCTCCCCCGTGTGGATGCGCTGGTGCGTCTTGTAGTCGCCGGAGCGCGTGAAGCTCTTCCCGCACTGCGTGCACAGGTAGGGCCGCTCGCCGGTGTGGATGCGCAGGTGCTTGGTCAGGTCGCCCGACTGGCTGAAGCCCTTGCTGCAGAGCGGGCAGACGTAGGGCCGCTCGCCCGTGTGCACGCGCCGGTGCGTCTTGAGGTCGCCGGCGCGGCTGAAGCTGCTGCCGCAGTCGGGGCAGCAGTACAGCTTCTCGCCCGTGTGCACGCGCTCGTGGCGCCGCAGGTCGCCCAGGAAGCTGAAGCTCTTGCCGCAGTAGGAGCAGGAGTAGGGCGTCTCGCCCGTGTGGGTGCGCAGGTGCATGGACAGGTCGCGGGCCTGGGCGAACATCTTGCCGCACTGCTCGCAGCGGTGGCGCCGGTCGCCGGAGTGGAAGCGCTCGTGGGTGCGCAGGTAGCCCACGGTGTTGAAGCTCTTGTCGCAGTACTGGCAGCGGTAGGGCCGCTCGCCGGTGTGGATGCGGATGTGCGTGGTGAGCGCCCCCGAGTGGCTGAAGCCCTTGCCGCACTGGCCGCAGCGGTAGGGCCGCTCGCCCGTGTGGATGCGCTGGTGCCGCGTCAGGGAGCCCGACTGGCTGAAGCTGCGGCCGCACTCGTCGCAGCGGAAGAGCTTCTCGCCCGTGTGGATGCGCTGGTGCACGCGCAGGTTCTCCGCCCGGCTGAAGCTCTTGCCGCACTCGGCGCAGTGGTGCACCTTCTCGCCGGCGTGCGTCTTGCGGTGCT